TCCCCTCCTCACATTGGATAACATATCAGGGATGACAGTGTCAAAGGCATTAAATATTTTCTGCCTTAACTGCTCCAAGTTTTGAATTTCTTCATGGCCGTAAATTTTAGATTTTATGTACCCCCATAAAAAGAAATCATCTACCGAGAAGTCAGGTGAAATTAAACGTCAGTCTAAACAAAACTGTCATTTTTGAAAACTTTTTGGACACACGCTAAATGGACTTGATTTTCCTATGTCTCGAAGTCTGTGGACTTTTCTGTATAATATCACAGTAATTTAATAGATTGCTCGTCATATTATATCAGCTCGTAGGAGATTAGGAAAAAAAAAAGATATTTATAGTATAAAAAATTATTTTATTTAACAAAATTTAATTAAAGATGTGACAAAATAGTTACATTTCTATTGGTTCTATCGGACTTTTTTCGACTATATAAATCTTTATTTTTTGTAAACTTTAATGCATAAAATATTTTCAATCTAATAAATAATTTAATGATGTTAATAAGAGGAAATTTTTCACATGTGGTCAAATTCTATAGTTTTCATTATATTAAACAGCCTCTGAATGTTTTCTTCAGTGCAAAACTCATCAAAATTTAATATAAATAATGTTTCCAGCCTGTAAATAAAATGAACAAATTTTTCCACTTTCATGATCAAAGGCTTTTAAATGGGTAAATAATTTCGAGTTATCCAGAGATTCGGATTCTTTTGCAAATTTTAGACAAATATCACATTGATGTATTTGAAGACCCTTTTTAATGATGTAGTCAAACATAATTAAAGGCATTGTGAGTTGAAAACATTTCTCAGAGGCTGTTTGATATAATGAAAACTATAAAATTTGACCACCCATGTGAGAAATTTCCTCTTATTTACATCATTAAATGATTTATTAGATTGAAAATATTTGATGTATTAAAGTTTACAAATAAAGATTTATATAATCGAAAAAAGTCCGATAGAACCAATAGAAAGGTAACTATTTTGTCACATTTTTAATTAGATTTTGTTAAATAAATTAATTTTTTATACTATAAATATCTTTTTTTTCCTTATAAATAAACACATTTGCATCCCATTTTAAATAAGATATACCAATTACCAAAACTTAGAAATAACAGTTCAAAAGTTCAACAAAAATCCTACACGCGTTTTTAAAAAGAAACATATAACCACGCACTATGTCATTCCAGCAAGCGAATACGACACAGCATAGGTTTCCGGACTAAACGACTGGTGTATTTACATCACTCAATAGGCGTGTCGGGTTTGCCGAGCGGTTTCCGATGCAGTCGCTTTCTTTCGCATCTGTTATAGGTAATTTGTGTCAATGTGTTTAATTGTTTAAAATTTTCTCTAATCAAAAAAAAAAACTCTATCTCCGTTAGCATTTACTTTAGAGAAAAAATGATAGAGGCAAAATGTTTAAAATTTAATTCCCTATAAAAACCGTCTCTTTAGATCTTTCGAAAAATCTTTTACAAACGGGGATATTTGAAAAAAAAAACGAAAAAAGATCGTTATCTACACATTCCCGCTGAGATTGGTTAGTTTTAATATTTTTTTTCCACTCAACCTCCAGATTGACTGGGCTAAAAGAAGTAGTTTGTATAGATTTAACTTTTCAGTATATTTACATGAGGTTTTTTGTTATTCCTGTTCTATTTAGGAATTTGTAAAGTCACCCGCGAACAAAACTAATGTTTGCCCGAACTATTCACATTGCTAAAATTATCATCCATTACTGAAATTATACAAAACGTACACATTTTCAATGGAAACACACTCCATTAAATCAAATATCCAGTAAATCGAAGTAATGGAACGAATCCGAAAATATATCTGAATTCGAGGTTTCCCATCCACTCCACAATCACATAATAGTTATTTACGCAACGAGTAGAGTAAGGACGTTATTACCGCAGGCATGCCTTTAATCACAGAAGTGCTATAATAATGTTATTTCTACGATTTACTTGCGCTATTTATAATCCATATTCTATCAGCATTGAAGGTCGATTCATATCTACCAGCACTTGATGGCGTGTCACGTGACACCGACAAGTGTTTTCGCAACGTCCTGCAATTCACTCACAGGCAGGTTGACAGATCGATTCATAGTTTTTCTAATTTTGATATTTAAAGCCTAGATCAAAATATATACTTACGTGGATAAGTAAATCACAATGGAAACTATCGCAAACATATCAACGATTTCTATTTATCTTCTTTTTTTGTTGCACACGCGGTGCTTCTACTCTATCGCTCGTTGTCGAGGACCTATCGCCCGCGCGCCAAATTTGAACATTAATTTCAATTTTAAAAATTTAATTTGTAAAATGCTACAGCCACTCTGTACAAATATTAGGAAATCTAACCAGAAAGTATGCATGTGGCTTAATATAAATAAATGAACAACTGAATACTTTACTTGCCTATGACAAGATAATTCGGGGACCTTTATATTACACACTAAACACTTTCTTGTCATTTTTACGAGTATTTAGAAAGTCCAATGAAAAAAAAATAGAAATATAGTTGCACAAACTTAAAATGAACTTCTCACTGAACACATCTTGCATCCTTGGCTATATAAAAGCAGTCGATAAGAGTAATTAATACAATTTTTATATTAAAAAACGAAAAAAACAAGCGTCGTTATGATCATTGCCTGGAAACTTATATGGTGAAATTTTGATAAAATAATTTAGTACACACTAAAAACACGGTATGTCGCTATTGGTAGGAAAAATAATTTTTAGAGGTTACTAGTTTATTTGGTTGCCTGTGATATGCATATACAGGTTGTTTCCTAATTAATCTAAAAAATAAAAAAATCGTTAGAAAACGAATTAAGGCGGGCTCTTAATAAGTATATTTATTTTTTTCTCGACAACCGTTTGATGAACAAGAAAAACTCAAAAGATCAATTTTGTTGAAAAAGGATGGCCAGTCAAGAAAAAAATATATTTTCTTTAAAAAAGCAGTGGTGTACCATTTATGTTCTATCTATTTTTTTTAATTTTTAACACCCTGTGGATCAGAAAGGAAGTACTTTAGACCCAATGGTTATATAAAAATTGTTTTAAGAACACACGAGGAATCACACCATAATTTTTTTAGACTAATTCGAAAACACCCTGTATATTGTCAACTTGACAATGACTGCTGATAAATCAAAAAATACCTTTTCAGTGAAAAAATCCTGATTTTCGCAGGAAAAATTTAGATTTTTATTGAATTTGGGCCTGCGTTTGCAAATACTCGTTTGTTTTAATTTTCTATCTATCTAAATTTTAAATATCATAGACAGAAATAGTTTTATTATTTATTAACTGTAAAATGGTGTTTTCTTTGTTGTGTTGCATCTTGCAAAGAAACTAACAAAACTGCAAAAATGTACGTGTTTCCAAAAGACGATAAGGTATGTATCTTAGATAAAAGAAAAATATATGGTATGTATTCGTTGTTTGATTTTTTTTCGTTCGCTTTAAAATCTATAAATCTCGGTCTATTCATTAGACAGCCAGTCGACTTACGATCATTTACATGAAACTCTGTAAAATAAATAAAAAAATAAATTGTAAAATATATATATTCTTATGTTTTATTAAAGTTACTCTGATATATTAATATATCACTGTAACTTTAAAAATAAATCCTTTAAATTCAAATATAAACATAAAAGACATTTACAGCAGAAAAGGCGAAGGCGCTGGGTTAAACGTAGTCTCCACTAAAAACACGGAGGGGCGCTTTGACCCAAAATTTTACTCTTAAGTTTCATATCTATCTTAATAGTAGATTATTTTCTTTTATCTATGAATTATGATTATTTTGGAAACACGTGCAACTTTTAATGCGCATACGCAAAGTAAGGTCCTCGAGGAAGACAAACCTATTGAACGTTTCATAAGTGCAATAAAGAAGGTTTGAAAATGGCATGTCGTGATGTTGGAGACATATTTTTTAATGCTAAATTTATGACGTTGATTTATCCACGTAAGTATAATATATGATCTAGGATTTAAAGTGACACTTTTTATAACCCTTTACGTTTTCAAATATGAATAAATAACTACTTGCGCATTCTCATAGCCACTTTATCAGGGCTATTTGAGATTATTTTTAGGTTTTCAAATGGGGTTTCTAACAGGACACTGTCTCCTCAACGAACACCTCAGTAGGCTGAAACTGAGAAACAACGGCGAATGCAGATTTTGTGGGGAAAATGGGGAAACACCAGAACACCTTATCACTGAGTGCGCCGAGACGACGACCATTCGTGCCATGAACCTTGGTACGTCTGATATCGAGGATGGAGAGCTGGCCTCTGTGGAGCCGTCTCAGATACTGGCTTTTCTTAAAGCCCTGAGACTGTATGATGAGTTATAACTCGTTATAACTCAAGAAAGGGGAACATACGATAGATCTATAAGGTCGCGGTGATTAACTCCCCTCCTAAACATTCTACATCTACATCTAGGTTTTCAAATTAGCTGATAATTTGTGAGATACATTGGTCAACTTAATTTTTTCAAATACGGATCTGCATTTTTTATTTCAGGTTTTCAAAGAACTCGGTCTCGTGAGTAAAATGATAAGCAACACTTAATATCTAAATTTCTGTCAAATCTAAAAAATTCTGTCAAATAGCCCTGATAAAGTGGCTATGAGAATGTGCAATTAGTTTTTTGATTTTCTAAAAAGTAACCATAGGAAAAAATAAAATAGATTTTTAAAAAAATCCGTTTTTCTCAAAAAACTCAGTAATCCTTGAGATTTTTTTGATAGCATGTTGGTGAAAATCCCAAGAGGCAACTTTCCCCCAATTTAATCATCTTCGTATCTATTACGCTTTCCGAGATACCAACGCTCGTACCCCGAATTTGTAGCGCCCTGTATATATTATATTAGCTAAAAGAAAAAATGCTTTTATTTTAAAATCAATATAATTTTAATTCCTCTACATCTGTTTTTTCTTGTTTCAGGTTCAAAGATGAGGGATGTTTATTCTCGACCTTAGGCGATGCAATGGCCGAACATGAAAGGCAATGTCGATACGGTCTAATTTGCTGTCCATTCAAGTAAGGAATTGGCCTTTTTGCATAAAAATCCGCTACTAGAGCCTCAGGTTTATTATTTTAAATTTCTTTTCCGAGATATACAAAAAGAACAATAGAATGGCATGTGACATATTTACAGATGCGATTTTAAAGGAAAAAAATTATACAGAAAAAGTCAACTTTTAAATAAATTTGGATATAAATTCCGCCACCTTCTATAATTCAACAATTCAATTCAAGTTATGAACGCCTATATCTTACTGGTAATAATAAAATTGATGCCCACTGAAATTCAGTGAGATACTAGACATTATATGTGCCACCATCGGAGAATATCGTAAACAAGTGATATATACAAATACACGGATTTAAATAGCGAGTATACGAAAAATTTATTATTCAGGTTGGTCCGAACTGTATTCCGGAAACTTCGGCAGCATATTCTGCAGATAAAAATAAGTAAAAAAGTTCCTATAAATGTATGTCCTAAAAGCTTAGTTTCGGAGATACAGGGTGTAGAAGTTTCATTTTTATTTCGATTTTTTCCAAATAATTTCTAAAGTAACCTAATAATTTCATTGAAAATTGGTGTCTGTGAGTTTTTTGACATGAGAAATTTGATTTTAATGTCAATAGAACTCCTACTAGTAGAGGTTAAGCCACAATAGGCCCTCGCGAATCAAATACAAATACTTGTAGAGGTCGCCACCTACATATTTTTAAGTGGTTTGAAGAATAATAACGTTTCGTCCGTACCTGTATAAAATTACTAAGTAAAAAATATACATTTAAAATGTTTTTTACGTGAAAAAGATCTCTTGGTAAAAATCGCTATGAGCAAAGGTTTTCCAGATATTTGGAATCGAAATTATCAATACCTGTCATCATGGACATAAATTAAACATGTTGACTAAATAGTTATTAGACTGAAATCATAAATTTGAAATGTTTTTGTATCAAAAGTTCAACAGAACCTGTTTTATCATCATTTTTTGCAGAAAAAATTATGATTAATTTAAAAAAATAAAATTTCCCAAATTTATTATTTGAGTGAAATAACTATCTACTCAACGTGTTTATTTTTCGTCAATAATGACGTATTGATTATTTCCATTCTAAATATCTTAAGAACGGTTGCTTATAGCGATTAGCGACGGATGCTTATAGCGATTTTTACAAAGAGATATTTTTTAGGTAGAATGTCACAGAGATGCAGGGGCGGTTTGTCCTATGAGGCAGATGAGGCAGTGCCTCACCAATGCATTTGAAGAATTGCACGTATTAATCGATACATCTTTAATCACAATTTTATATTTTTTTCCCTATTTGAATCAATAATAATTGTATTTTTTATCCGTCATTCTACAATAAATTACGTCGATGGTATTCCTTTAAACGCGCTTCCTTTCCCATATGCGACAAACTCGACGATATATATATATATATATATATATATCCATCTCATTTGTTCTTTAAGAAGTATATGTGCAGAGGTTTGCCTCTTGCCTTTCCTTGTCTAACGTATTGTGGTATATCGCATTGACGGAGCGACAGCGTTCACTGGAATCTTAAATCTATAGAATGAAAAGAAAAAGCATAGGCAAAACCTTTAGTTGAAGAGAGATAAAATGTATGGAGTAGTAGCGCGTAAAAAGACCGTATTGAGGCGAGCTTCAAATGTAAATTTAAACCTTAAAAGCCGTTCGTTAAAATATATGTATCACTTCCCGATCAGTTCCCGGCGATCAGCCCGAGAGATTTTAGGCGACAGCTGGCGACAGGCTGAAAATGCAGAATTGCATTATTTGGGAATTTGTATTAGTTTGAATTAACTCTGCCGGTTATTGCACTGTTTTGTCTCTAATTGATTAATATATACGTTTTTAATGTGAATTGCATGTTAATTACTCGTCTTACTGATTACAACGTATTAAGTAAATACCTAAAAAGTGGGCAGTGACTTGTTGATTGATATGATGATTTAGAGGGACCATGCATCATCAGAGAACTTCCCCAGGTAAAGTTTTTCGAATACGAATCATTTCTAGATAAATTGTGTATTCGTATAGTCAAAAAGTAAAGCAACCTGTTACAGAGATTTCATTTTGTTTTATTTTTATAGTATTGGTAGAAAAACAAAATTTTACCATACAGAGTAAAATATATAAGACAAAATATCCTGAGGTCGTTTTGATAAAAATTTACTGTTGCAATAGCCCTATGTAATAGGTACCGCATGATCGAAAAAAAAACGGCGTCCAGTTGGCTTGAAAATGACGATCGATGATATTTCCCATATAATTTTACATATAAAATGACAGCGATCTTCATTTCATAGCCATCGCTGACGCCGTTTTATTCGATCATACGGTATAATACTGCGAATTATATTACATAAGGCTTAAGGCAACTGCTAAAAATTTAAAAATATTTAAATACAAAAATCTGCGCTTTTTAAATCTGGAGGTATCTAAAATACTAAAAATAATATACAGTGTGTATTGCATTTAAAAAAATTGAGATATAGCATTATAATATTGCAATGTTGACCGTGCCATAAAAAAATCCCTGTATAAAATAATGTGAATTTTTCTCGGATTTCTTCTTTTGTCCTACATACCTCGCTATATACATACTTAAGCAATAATATATCAATAAGTTAAATTCACTCCAGGTTTTTACCACTTTTTAAAAAATGAAATTTTTCAAATATGAATTATCATGGAAATCCCGCATATATAGTGCTTCAAATAAATCAATAGTGTGAAGTATGCCGAATTTTATGCTGAACCTAATTCTGTACAGAAAAATGGTAATGCGATTGCAATTTTACAGAAAATATTTTTTTTAGGATATGCACTTTTTTTATATAGAAGTTTTTTTCATATATTTGTCAACTACGAAGATATTGGACTTCCTCGTACTAATGGTCACCCTATATACATACTAATAAAAATTTTCTTCTAATGTGCCTCACCATCTTCCAGTGCTACGAGCCGCCCCTGCAGAGATGTATATTTTTCGCTCGGTAGTTTTATACAGGTACGGACAAAAAGTTATTACGCTTCAAAACAGTTAAAACACATGTAGTTGGCGCCCTCTACTAGTAGGAGTCATATTGACGTCAAAATGAAATGTCTCATGTCAAAAAATTCCCAGACACCAATTTTCATCCAAATATTGAGGTTACTGCAGAAATTATTTAGAAAAAATTGAAATAAAAATGAAACTTCTACACCTTGTATCTCTGAAACAAAGCATTTTAGGACATACATTTATAGAACTCTTTTACTTAATTTTATCTGCAGAATATGCTGCCGAAATTTCCGGAATACAGTTTGGACCACCCTGTATAATTATTTTAATTGTTAGGAAGTATAATTTGTGAAAATTCTAAAAATAAAAAAGTAAATATTTTGATATGTTCAGAAGGGTCTAACTTGTATTATAATTTATTATTCTAGCTAAAAAATCTTTATAGATGAGTTCATCTACCGTGGCGAGCATAGCTTTACGCACCGGTTTTGCTAGTGGGGTTATAATTGAGGCTATTTCGGCTATAACGAAATACTGTTTTAGGACATACGATCACTGTAAATGGACGGGGTACATGAAGAAATTGGAAAACCACTGTATGAGGAAGCACACCAATAATTTCTACTCCAAAGAAAAGCAGAAGTTTATATCCAAGAGTTTTAAAGAAGTCGACAGCTACTACTACATTTACGTAATTATTCACGCATACGACGAGTTCTTTAGACTAACTTGGGAGCTAGACGACGAGACAGGTAAAATAGTCCAGAATTTTTAGGAACATTTTAGAAAAAATTATCAAAGCTATCTGATAATTTTATATTGTAATTTACCATTGAAAGTGTCATATGAAATATCTAATATACCGAATATCTGCAAAAGAATCGAAATATGTGGTGGACATTAGATAATGATTCAGTATTGAAATTGAATTTTGGACTTCTCTTGTATATTTTGCGTACACAACGTTTCGGTCATGTCAGTGTCACTGACATCGGGTAAATCAATAATTTTCCCAATCAGCTCGATATATTGATGATGTTGCCAGTATTACTCACCAAGCTACTCTTATATTGATCAATTAAGGCCGCGTAAACAAACATAATAGTACGAGAGCTAGCAACGTCGGGAAAACAAGTATTTTAAGACGTCTGACTCTTTGATATATCTTTTATTATGCTCTCTGGAAAAGCATGCGGCCCATCTGGCTGCCGATACCCGTTGCGTTTACTACTGCGCATCCAAAGAAGATCCTCTATTTTTTACTTAGCGCTTTAAATTCTAGTATTGCATAAAAATCGAGGAAGTCTCCATTAGCTCGGCGCGTAGAGCTTTCGCCTATGACGCGAAGGTCAGTGGTTCGATACCGGCTGGGGTGCAACTTTTTTTTTTTTCATTTATATTCTGATAGTAAAGTATTAAATATTTGCTTTTTTATCACCAAAACGGATGGCGCTTATGGGTTTATGATCCGTAGTGAGTATAAGTAGAATTTGATACTTTCATTTGTTTTGAAGGATTATTGTGGTAATTAATTATTAGGCAGGTTTAGGATGGTCTGGCTGCCGCGCCGGTAGGATGCGTTTATTACTGCGCATCACATGTGTTCAGGGTGTCCCATTTTTGTGCGTTTTTTGGGATTTCTCGTTTATAATTTTATTTTAAAGATTTAAACATAATATATAAAAATTAACATTTTAATGCTTTATTAAGATAATTTCTGCCTGTCTTTCTTCAAATTTTTTTTCAGCTGTTGTTTATTATTTTAATAATACTTTTTTTAACAGATTGTTATCTAAAAACTACACAAGTTTATTTTCAGTTCAGTTTGTTAAGATAACGATGGAAAACAAAATTATCTGGTTAAATTAAATTAAATAAAATAATAATACTTTCTAAACAAAATTGATTAATGTTAATGTGTAGAAAATGCACAAATCTAGGGGTAAAATATTTAGTTACATAAAAAACTAGCAAAGTTATGTGAAAAAAAAACGCATCATTGTATCTCCACTCATAAACGAGAAATCCCAGATATCCCAAATCCCAAAAAACACACGAAAATGAGACACCCTGTACCCATGTGATGCGCAGTAGTGAACGCCACCTACCGGCGCGGCAGCCAGACCATCCTAAACCTATCTAATAATTAATTACCACAATAATCCTTCAAAACAAATGAAAGTATCAAATTCTACTTATATACACTAGGGATTATAGACCCATAAACGCTATCCGTTCTGGTAATAAAAAAACAAATATTTAATACTTTACTATCAGAATATAAACGCAAAAAAAAAAATAAAAAAAAGTTGCAACCTCAGCCGGAATCGAACCACTGACCTTCGCTTCATAGGCAAAAGCTCTACGCCCCGGGCTAATGGAGACTTGCTCGGTTTTTATTCAATACTAGAAAATAAACCGCTAAGTAAAAAATAGAGGATCTTCTTTGGATGCGCAGTTGTAAACGCAACGTGTATCGGCAGCCAGACGGCCTGCACGCTGTTCCAGAGAGCATAATAAAAGGTATATCAAAGAGCCAGACGTCTTAAAATACTTTCTCGAAAACGTTGCTAGTTCTTAGACTATAACATATACCTACAATTTTATAAACTAATTCCCGAGCTAATTCCATTATAATAAATTTAAATAATTAGCATATTGTAATTAGATTTCTGCAGATTAAGTGAAAAGTTTTGTTCTTAAATATCTACGCTGCATATTATAAACGCGTGTTCAAATATTAATCTTGTGGAATATATACCAACATAAAACGAGGTGTAATTAACGAAATATCATTGTAACAACAGCTATTTTAGAAACGTCTAGGTTTACTTATTTCTCGGAGATTTATGAAAAAATGTCCTTTGCCTCGGGTACAGATACCGCGACGTTTTGGAAATAGCTCATAACGAAACAAAATTGAACGAAGCAACGAGAAATGCCAATAAAAATCCCCCCTCGCCCTTCTCACGAGTAGTTTTCATGCGATTTTAAGAATCGAAAGTACGTCGAGGCAAACCGAAGTGTGTCAAAACAACTAGAAATAAATCGAAATGCGACAAAGTTGGGCGAGGAAATGCAACTTTGACCTGTTTACGAAGAGCTCTCCGCATAGTGTAGGGGCTGTTTTACAACCACTGTATGTTCACTTTTATAAACATTTTCAATAAAATGACGAACACACGATTTTAGTCTGGTATTAATTAATTAATTAATTTAATAAAAAATATGCTTTGGAAGTCCACCTTCAGTAGTTTTTAATTTTTTCTGAATACACCATAGAGAACTGAAAAAAAATTGCAAAATTATTTCTAATTTACAGCCGCACTCAGAATCGGTCATCGCAACGCGCGACGTTATTTTTTAATTTATACCGCGTACGAGATGTGTTTAAAAAACCGCATCACCCACCGACTAAAACAGCGAACGGGAGACGTAATCGCAGCCGGAAAGTTCGCTGACCCCGGCTTGCGTTTGGTTTGGTTTGTGACGAGGACAGTCGCATCACTGCGCTGTAGACATATTTTTATTTTTAGCGTTTAGCTTTGGTGTCAGATTTATCTGTAAAGCTCGACCAATACACACATTAAATAATTGAAATTGAATTTAATTATTTGAATAAATTTACTGAGAATTTTAATTTATTATAGGAGATCTCACTGACTTTTTTAAATAAAAACGTTTTACAATATTTTAAAGGAATGCGTTCAAGAACAGTTAACCTAATAGGACTGCTCATTCAGTCAAAAGTGTCCGCCAGGTGCATGCGAAAACTACTCGCTTTGTGACGTCATTGTAGCCCTTGTCATAGTTATTAGTCCTTATCCGGCAACCAATAATACACACACGTGCATTATTGGTTACCGAATGCAAACCGTTCATTATTTAGTTTATTTATTTAAACACCTTATATGTATGCAGTAAAGAAAATTAACTATATAAATCGTATTAAATTTTTTTACTCGGATAATGCATTTTTAAGAACAGCAGGTCCCAGCATCACCTTTTGCAAGCATTCTTTTTAGAATACTTCCATATTTTGCTTTAAAATAATTAATAAAAAAAAATCGTGGGCACTTTGTCACAATCCACAACACAAAATGAACGTATTTATACACTCTATAGTTCTAAAAACTTTAAAGACACCTTTTTCACATTTAAAATTGACAAAATAACTAACTCGAAATTTCTCAGCTGTTATTTTTGTAAGTTTACCATACGCAACTAATAATACACACTATCATGACAAGGTCACGAAGGCTTTGACAAGGGCTACAATGACATCACAACTGTCAGCTGAAGCGCGGGAAGATGCGAACGTACGTCTTATGAGGATGAGCAATCCTATTAGTTTAACGTTCTTGGGATGCGTTCAATGGAAGCTTTGCTGCTGGTTACTGGTTATGACTCTATTTATGGTTAGCGTAACCAAGACGATATAAGCTTATATTAATTCAGCAACAAATAAACTAATTTTCGCCCTCGGTTGTGTTTATAAAAAATAATCAACTGAAATTGTCATTTTTCAAAAATACATCCCGATAAAGTTTAATTGTTAATAACTCAAATTTTTTAATAATACACGCTCTGAACTTTATTTTATTTTGTTATGCATGAATCGGAAAAATCCTGTTTAATCTCTCACTATATTTTTTACAATCGAACAGGATATGTGTTTGTTTAATAAAATTTACTTAACGCGAATAAAGCGAAACATATATAGGTCCCTTCCATAATTAATCTGTTTCAATTTTAACTAAAGCCGTCAGTAAATCTCCCGCTTCGAACAGCATAAATCAAATTATTGTATCAGTTTTAATTAAAGTTCAATTAAAACAAACGCTATTTCATATTGTTTTTGGATTACTACATATCCCATCAAAAACATAAAATGTAAAAAAAAAAAAATTCGTAAAGGTCCCCACAGACGCTCAGTTTTATCACTCAGGCTTAAGGATGTTCAGAATACATCGATGCATAGAAAACTAGGCAAAGAAAACGCTGGGTGCTAGCCTACCAAGGGATAGAAGGTACCTAATGAAAAAGATAACGATCTAGCTAGAAAAGGAGCGAACACTCCCAATAACCGTTCTGCTTCCCAAGTGAAACCAACTTAAAACAGAACTGTAGAACCTGGAACACTTCATCCGTAACTTGGAATGGAAATCTTCCAACGGTCTAAGACACTCGAAGAAATTTTACCAAAAGAGAAAAATCGGAGATTTTCCTTGATTTAAGTAAGGACATTTTTAAGACCCTTTCTTTTCAATAATCATCTCAGTAGATTGAAGCAAAATCAGAAACCATAATTTACCAGAATACCATAATACCAGTTGTATAAATATCTAATAATTAAGATATTAATAACAGTGAACACGAAATGATGATTCAGTGAAATTATGGTAGTCTCTGGAAAAAAGTTGTTTTTCGCGTAATAGTATAAACGTCAAATTGTTATTAGATCAACATTTTGATAGTCTTAGCAGCGTATTTTTATCTTTTAATTGCTTTTTTAAAATGCCTTTATTATTTGAAGTTGTTCAAGTTGTTGATTTCGTCGATTTTAAAATAATCTAACTGTTTCTATCTTATTTTTTTGTTAGAATGGGCATTATCAAGAGGGCTACTGATACCGTGTTGTAAAAATAAGGTAATTAAGGGCTTATTTTTTGGTATTTATTATAATTTTGCTAATATCTTCCGTTTGAAAGAAGATATCAAGATGCGGTTGTCGCTGACTTTTTAAGCTTTTACTACTCTTTACTATCAGCTAAAATTACATATACTATTGCATTTAATTTTTTTGAAAAAACGCGCTATGTGTGTTAAATTGTAAAGCAACGCCCCCTAGCGTCTTCGTTCAAAAGCTTATTATTATTGTTTATATGGTGCAATATAGAGTAAGAAAGGCTCTTTGAAACGAGCCCTCGCTTGTTGGATTCCGATCATCCAGGCCAGAGTTATTAATATTTAAATAAAAACAGATCTAACCTTCCCCCACCACTTTATTTTGGTAGATAGGGGAAAATGGCTCTATCTAAAATATTCAAAATTTACTGAAGATTATGAAGCTATTACTTATAGTACACCTTATCTAGGCAAAATTGTGTAAAAACTCCATTTTCTTATTTTTTGTTGCAGTTGCGCCACCTAGCGGTCCTTCTACAAACTTGAAAATAATTTCCAGCAATTTCTCATAGCCTCTTTAGTTACAAATATTTTTTTCTGCAGCCCCTACGGCTAATACTTTCCGAGATACAGCCGAGAGCTATTCTGAGTGGGACACCCGGTACGTTTGCACATCGTTTAGGGTAGTTAGTATCTTTTTATACTCATATGCGGAGTGTCAGTCTGCGCGCGACCGTTTGTGACACTATTTTTACACCAATAATTTTATAATGTCGAACAAGGTAAGTTATTTTACTGATTTGTTTTAATTAAATATGAGGAAATTGTGATAAAAAAAGTGAATAATCTGCTATTTAATAAAAAAGTGACTTTTTTATTAAATAAGTATTATTTTTGTACTCTACAAGAAATATTCCAACAGCTCATACAAGACTGTTTGAACGAAGATGACGAATTAAGTACTGAACATGACGATGAAAAAAAAGAACGAGAAGTGGATATTATAGAAAGGCAAGGGCCGAAAATAAATTCTTATACTGAAAAATAAATTTCAGATTCTGAAGCACTGTACTTTATATACAGTGTTACCAGAGGATCGGCACTACAGAATTGTGATAAGCGGAAAAACAGACCAACTCGTTACTCTTTGTACAGTGTTACAATTTCGTATGATTTGAGTACACACAAATATTCTGTAATAACTGTTATACGGATTGACTTTTTCATTATTATTAATTATTTTTGTTTTTGAATAATATTTATTAATTTATGTTATATACAGGGTGGGCCACTGAAAACTTACAATGGCTATAATTTTTAAACCAAAAAAGATATCAAAAAAATAAAAAATACAGTTTCTATAATATCGAGGGGGAATACATATGACGTATTTTTTGAACCACTCCGACTTACCCCTAAGGCGGCACCACTACTCACTTGAGAATCTTAAATGGCAACACCCCACTTGTGGCGCCTTTTTGGAAAGTCCATGAAAAATGCTAAACGATGATCATAAAGTTTTTAGGGTGAAATTGAAAAAACTACCCCTTACACAAAAAATTAGGAGGACATTAATGAGAAAAGTAAATTTTTCACCATAAGTTACAAATTGGGACCCAGCTAAATGAGGTTTTTTTCAAACTACCCCGACCCACGCCTAGGTGCCACCCCCTCACTTCTAACCTCAAGATAGCGAAACCCCACTTGTGACACCTCTTTGGAAAGCATATAAAAAATGCTGAACGACTGTCATAAAAAAGAACGAAAAAAATAGAGCCTAAAAATAAAACAAAAATGTCAAAACGTGTCAAAATCAATAGAATGAATTATTTTTGTATCATATCGTGTAAGGGTAGTTTTTCAATTTCACCCTAAAAACTTTATGATCATCATTTAGCATTTTTCATGAGCTTTCCAAAAAGACGCCACAAGTGGGGTGTTGCCATTTAAGATTTTCAAGTGAGTAGGGGTGCCTCCTAAGGAGTAGGTCAGGGTGGTTCAAAAAATACGTCATATGTATTCCCCCTCGATATTATAGAAACGGTATTTTTTATTTTTTTGATATCTTTTTTGGTTTAAGAATTATAGCTATTGTAAATTTTCAGTGGCCCACCCTGTATTTTATGTTTATGTTTGTTATTTGTAATGAAGCAAGTCAATAAATAATTGTTATTTTGATTATCATATTATTTTATGTCTTGAGATGAACCGCCTATTTAAAAATAGGCATATTTCTTTAAATTCAAAATATTCATTTTTAAGACACTCTGTATACATAAATAAAATTATTGATTTTTAAAATATTATTCACAAACTAGAGAGAGGGAAATCAGGCGACGACCAGAGAGGATAGTTGTTAGATAATAGCTTCTAGACTACCATTTGAGACGCATTGATATTATTTTGGTTCTTGAGTTCTGTGACAAACAATGTTATTAAAGGTAAAGTAAATGTTTTCTCATTATTTAACTAATGTTAACTAAATCATATTATTTTGTTTTCTTGTTGCAATTCTGTTTTAAAACTTTTCCTTATTCATTTGATCTGACAAAGACAATATATAACATGTGTATGCGTTTAATAGAATCTATTTATGCTGTAAATAATTTCAGTTTAAAAGTAATCTAAATAAAATCGTTTACTGTTCCTTCGTGCCGATGTTTGTGGTTTGTGAGAACAAGGGCCTTGTTGAGTGTACTAACATTTTTTGTCCGTGCATGGACGATATAGTATCTTAGCTCGCAAAAGAGCAACCAGAAACAATAAATATAATAAATTATGATCTAAATATATTTGCACCAGAACTTCAACTTTAGCGTCGATCTCCGCAACCAGGGACTTCGTACCTACGGGTGGGGACCCGTTAAACTAACTTTCTTCAGTTTTGAACGATGTAAATGTGGCACGTTTTGAATTTATTAAGCTATAAACCTAGGTATGAGGACAGTTTCAATATTATTGTTATTCCTCTTTTATTAAAGTTCAGGACAGCATAGTTAGATTCTCTGGAATAGTGATCATGGTTTTCTCTGCCGTGCTCTTTTACATGTGAATTCCAATTATTAAAATTTACCAAAATCCAAACCAAACCAATTGTTTCATTTAATAAAATAAGTAGGGCTATTTACAAATTTAGCGTTTTATTTACATAACCTATTCTCCTCAAATTTCCCAAAATATTGCTTCTGTCGAGGCGCATCCGAGGTAATCTCAATAAAAAAATATTTAACACAACGTAGGTTCCTTTCTTTCATTTAAATTTCTTGTTATACAGTTGGCCAAAATATTACCTCTTTAACTTTGTTGACGAATTTGGGTTGTTAAACTACAGTCTTTACACCACTAGACTTAAGACCTCTTGAATTTAGCATGCGGACTGACAGTCCGCGTGCGACCCCTTTCATGTAACAAATAAAGCGCGACCTCCGAAAGGTTAAAATACTTTATATTTTACTATGTCGTATTACTTTTACTTTCATTCTCTATTTAATTAACTTCTAAAAAAAAGAAATAATACTTTTTATTAAGCAATAATCATTTTTATTGCAGGAATCACAAAGTGGGCGATATATTTTATGGGAACAAAGGAAATGGCAGAAAAATTTACATACAAGATTGAATTTACCGGAATCTCTAACTCTGAGTACTCCAATACGGCCAAAAACATCGTATGGAAGTCACCTTGCAGCGTTCTGCCTGATGTAGAATCTGTTAAATTTGTAGGAAACGATTACCTCATGGTGCATAGGTAAGGAAATACCAATTTATAGAGGATAACCACTGATCTGGGAGCTCTCGATATTAGCGTTGATTGAAAGAATTGGAAAAATACGCTACCTAATGTGTAAATTCAGCGACAGTGTTGCCTTATCAAAATGTGTAATAGGTATCTGTAATAATGTTTGACGAAAATATTTTTTCGGATGAAAAATCCGCGTTTATGTATTGAAAATTTATTACTGTTAAACATAGAATAAACCTAACCTAACAGAAATAAAAATTATTTTATGGTTACTGAATATTTCGTATGATCGAAAAAAGTCGTTTAGTTGGCTTGGAAATCACTGCTATTGACATTTACCATAACATTTTACATATGAAATAACGCGATCTCCATTTCCAAGCCAACTCTGACGTCGTTCTTTGTTTAATCCTATAGTATTATATTAAATTTTTTAATGATAAAAAAAAACATATTATTAACGTCTTGTATTATTATTAACGTACTGTATCCAAAATCCGTAAATCTACGGATTAATCCGCGTGTAATTCTGGTAACACTATCTCCGGCAAACACCCACTCTGTCGACTGAAAGCAGAACTACGCTACAGTATTCTTTATGCGCTGCACTGTAAACGACATCAGCGCGCAGTGGCGCAGAGCAAAACTAAATCTCGGACAGGCTGACTAGCGGCGAAGGTATCGCCAGGTACATTTCGGACACTCCACTATGTTATTACTTTTCTATTTGCGTTTTAAACTGCAATCATTTTGTAAAATATTCGTGGACTATGGGGAGAATATTAAAAAACTTTTCTTTTATACTGTCTGACTTGGTAATTGCAACATCCAGTATACGCATACCTGTATTTATAATGTTTAGTTGGTTGACTGCCTCGATGAAGTCTAGTAAACGATAACATTTTCATCCCAGTCTGTTTACGTGTAGTAGAAGGAAAAGAGTAGTTGCACTTTCCCAAATATTTTCTGCCAGTTTATACAATCTGTCGAATATCGGCAGATTGCAAAGCGTTTCAGTTGAGTTCCGTCCGTTGACCTGCGAGGTTCGAGCGTTGCGTCCCAGCACAGAGACGGATTGACAAAAAATGAGTGTCTTACTGTGTGCTGCTATTGGTTGTAGTAATAATTCAGAAAATTTTCCTTTGAGTTTTTTTTTGAGAGTAATTTGTGATCATGTTTGTTTTCAGGTTAATTTTCTCATGACTGATTACCACATAATAATTTGATATTATTTTCATTTAAACTTAAATTTTTTATCGATTTTACTTTTGACAACCATCCCTTGCTTGCTGTTTAACGAACTGCACCATCATTGAACAAAAATTTGTTAGTACCGAAAGTACCAAAAAACGTGGAAATTCAAGTTCCTTAGAGGCATGGTACCGAGATTACCGGTTCCAAAAAACAGTTCCTGTTCCGGAAACGCTATAACGTACCATAACCGTGAATCGCCCTATATAGGGTGAGTCTTAAATAAGTGCAAATATTTTTAGTGTATCTACGGGACTTGGTAACAATAACTAAAAATTATTCTTTTATTACGTGAGAAAGTAGCGATGCAATTTCTCATTGTTCTTGCTTAAAGAAGTTTAAATATGTTATTTTATTATTTAGTACAATGTGTTGTTCAATGTATTAGGTATCGAAGGAAAATCACCTAACCAATATATTACTACAAAACAAACACATTAATGTTAAAATTAAACTTGTTTTAAATTAAAAAAAGTTGTAGAAAATCTTTGAAATAGATAATAATATAAAAATTTGTCATTATATATTTTTTCCGCATTTCTTCCCATCAGAAGATTTTCAGAAGAATTGTTACTGACACGAAATGTGAAAATATTCTGTTTTCAAGTAAATTTACTCGATGATCAATTTTTTTTATTTTATTTTATTGTGAACTCATATTTTCCTAAATACATCTCTGTGAAACTATGGCGAGTGCCACGACTATACTTTGCCTAGTTATAGACAACGACTATACAGCTACGTCAGTGGTCACCGGACACAAGAACAAGGTCATATAAAGTGGCAGAAAAAGAACAAAGGATTTAAAAAGGAGTAAAGCTACTAGTTTCCTTATACTATGACCAGACTTTATTTATTTCGAAAAAAAAACAGGTTTTATTTTTTTTTGAGATTAAAAATTAATTATAACAGTAAGTTGACTCCACCAAGTTAATTACTTTGAAAAACTCATTAGCTTTCACTAAATGAAAAATAGATATTTTTAAAAATCGACTTTGATTAGCATTTCCACATTATTCAACTTTTTGAAAGGTCTTTTAATATGATTTTTTAATGATTGCCTTAAACGTAATATGAAAATTGAATTCTTGTCAAATCAGATTTTAATGAAAAATTTATATACTTTTTTTTATATAAAGGGACTCATTATGTCACGGAAAATTTTCGTTGTGAAATTATAATAAAAATATTTTTTAAATTTAATAGCGAATACTTATTACCAAATAATTTTTATGCTATAAGGTATTAAAAAAACAAACTGGCTAAATTACCCTCAAAACCTAATAGTTGTTGAAAAAATTATCATATTTTCAAAGTTATGAACTGGAGCTCTATCTTGATGAAAGTATAATTCACGTAAATTAGCTAAGGGAATATCCTCTAAAAGTTATTTTAAGATAGCTTCTAAGATTTACAAATAGCGGTAGGGTGTTAAGTTTACCTGATATACCGGGTGCGTCTCAAAAGTGGCTCACTCCTATAACTTTTTATTTTTTCAGATAAAAAAACGAGATTTGGTATGTTAGTATTTGACATAAATTAGGACTGATTGACGTGTTTAATTCTTGTTGGTTACTTTCTTTTTACCGGAAATTACTACAACTTTTGATTTTTAAATGACACTTTCTGAATTTTTTTTCTTTATACGATAGAAAATGACACTCTGAATAGAATGACATATCATATGTCAACTTTTGATATTTTTGCATCTGGTTTATTTGAAATTGTAACATGCGTTTCATAATGACAATTTGACTCGAAATACCAAGTGTGTAGTACCAATTTTTTTGTAAGAAATGCTTTTTCCAAATATGCTAATGGGCCACCCCTGTTCCATTTGAAAAAATGAAATATGATTAAAAATACGAGTTGCTCACCTTTTAAACGGCCAGAACAAAACACGAAAAACATTAGACGATCAAATCTATTTTTCCAAGGCTCCTTGATTAAAAATTAGTGTTTTTTACACAGCCATGGCACTCTAGGTTTAAACTTAAAATACAAAAATATTAAAAAAAATTTAAAAAATTATATTTAGATATTAAATATATATTTTATATTAAATATTAAATCTTTTTTAAAGCAAAAATTTCAAAACCTGACATATGATATGTTATTCTATTCATTGAGTAATTTTCTATCGAATAAAGTAAAAATATAAAAATATACCAAAGATGCCATTTAAAAATCAAAAGTGGTAGCCATTTCCGGTGAAACAGGAAGTGACTAAAAACAATTGAATACGTCAATCAATCCTAATTTATGTAATATACTGCGTATCAATTCTCGTTTTTGTATCTTGAAAAGTAAAAAAAATATAGGGGTGAGCCACTTTTGAGACGCACCCGGTATAAAGAATATATTAGGGGCTCCCACAATAAGACAAGATACAGATGGCAGTATATACTTTTAATAATTCTTTTCTTTCTTTTATTATCAATCGGCCTGCTAATAAAAAATGATCTTTTAATGGACTCGTGGAGGATTTTTGCTACAACTTAACCAACAGAGGTACGGGGGATGTCCCAAATTGCAAAATTTTCAAAAAGTCGCTACATGCAGTTCCGAAACAAAGATACCTATAAAAATTTTGTTTACAGCATTTTTCGTTTTACAAAAGAGTAGGAGAGGTTTATGCAAACCGCATTCTTCTATCTTCACTAACAACGGAGATACCGTATGATTTTAACCAAAATGGAACACCCTGTACATGCTTCCCCACCAGTAAAAGGCCATATGTAACCTTTTTTCTTATTAGCATCTACATTTCACAATACAATATGTCCCCAAAACACATAGCATCTTCGGTTCCCCTACTATAATGTTATGTTATTTCACTGTTACAACTTATTTCAAGTACTGTTCATTTGCAGGGATCTACTAAACACGTTTTGTGATGAAAATGGTGATTTAAATTATACCACCTTCATCTACAAGTCTGAGTCATTGAAGAAACATAGGAAGGCTAGCGAACCAGAACTCGAGAGGGTGATGAAAAATATTAAATTTTGAGATTTTATTATTTTTTTCTATTTTTATAAAATATGTATTATTCATTCGCAATAAAGTTTTTTTTCTATAATCTGAAATGTGAGCTTATGGGGTTCTTTTGATATTAAAATTGTAGAGGCCGTTTAACGCCAATTAAAAGTAGTGTCTTGTTTTTTGATGATTTCGATTTCCTTGATGAGATAAACGCAATTTTATTAATCACAATTAATTTGCTTTGATTCAAATTTAAAAGCAACCTTTAAAACTCAAATAACATCCTTAACTTGCTAAAGTTTTAAACAAGTACTCATTAATTCCTTATCAAACAATATGAAAAAAAGTTCCTATACATATAGTTATATATAATATAAGTGGTAAAAGTGGTATTTTATTTTGTGAGAAGGGAAGCTTCCTAGAAAGGAATTATCCCTTCGAACAAAATAAAATCACTTTTAGTACACATATCAAACACTATTTTTTCTACAAACAAGTTTATGCTCGTATACAGGGTGTGTCAAAACAAATGCGAAAAACTTCAGGGAGTGATTCCTTGTTCAAAATAAAGGGTAGTTTGCTTCATAAACGTTGGGTCAAAAGTCAACCATTAGGGAGATATTGCGGTACAAAGATGGCGGAAAAATAAAGTTTTTATTTTTTATCTTGAAAACGAAAAGAGATAGACTAATAAAATTTTATGGAAGCATTACTGTTATGAAAACACACTTTCTGGTAATTTTTTCACTTTTTTAAAATGAGTCGAAGGGGTTGAAATAAACTACCCCTATCATTCTTGTTAACGAAATTTAAAGAAAAATCTTATGAAACACATGCAAAAAATTGGATAAATTAATTTGGATAGTTTAGTTTGTTTAGAAACTTTTTTATCTCTTGTATTTTTTTGATAAAACTCATCGATTTGAAATTAAAAAATAAAATGTAAAGCATTACATGTCAGGACAAAAAACATTTTCTGATAAAGAATCTAGTGGGCTGCTGTAATTTTTTTAGGAAAAAATCTAGTCGGCCGCTGTTACTTTTTAGGATGTTCCTAATATTATTTTATTTGACATTACTCTACTGCAATACGTTATTATATAGATGATTATTATTATCGTTATTATCACTAGATTCTTAATCTAAAAATGTTTTTTGTCCTGACATGTAATGCTTTACATTTCATTTTTTAATTTCCAATCGCTGAGTTTTATCAAAAAAACACAAGAGGTAAAAAAGTTTCTAAACAAACTAGACTATCCAAATTAAAGCATTTGCATGTGTTTGATAAGAGTTTTCTTTAAATTTCGTTAACAAGAATGACAGGGGTAGTTTATTTCAACCCCTTCCACTCATTTTAAAAAAGTAAAAAAAATACCTGAAAGTGTGTTTTCCTAACAGTAATGCTTCCATAAAATTTCATTAGTCTATCTCTTTTCGTTTTCAAGATAAAAAATAAAAACATTATTTTTCCGCCATCTATGTACCGCGATATCTCCCTAATGGTTGACTTTTGACCCAACGTTTATAAAGCAAACTACCCTTTATTTTGAACAAGGAATCACCCCCTAAAGTTTTTCGCATTTGTTTTGAAACACCCTGTATATCAAGGTATTATTACTTTTTACGTTAATGAATAATTCATAATATGTCATTCTGAAATCAAATTAATTATGAAGTTTGTGGTTGTTAGGGTAACAGTTATTGCTTCAGTATTAAAAGTAAATCACGTGACTTACTTTTAGCACCAGTGCTAAAAGTAAATGACTTTTGCCATCAGTGACATAATGTCACATTTTAGGTATTGACAGCATACGTTAAAAATTTCATTTTTACTGACGTTTGTAGAAAAAATATACTAGGGGTATGGAAATGCATAGTTTTAACATTACAGGATGTTAAAACTTTTTAAAATTAGGTCTTACATTCCATTATTTTTTATTTGAATTCGCTATAGGTGTAACTAATAATAATAATATTTAGTAATAAATTAGATAAAATAAATAATTTATTAATTTGATTTTAATTTTATTAATTGTGATTAGATACAACTTTTAAATGGAATTAAACCGCATGCCTATACAATTTTACTATCAAAAAAAAAGTCACTGGCGCACATGTTTTTTTTTCGACAAATATTCCTGTGATAACCCATATGCACGTCCCTGATGAATCTATGTACACTTTTTTAGCATTAAAATATGTAGCACTTACTATAGTAATTTTTACCATCAAAATTTAATGGAAAACCAAATCAAAATTTGGAAGAACAAAACTTCACCCTGTATTGTTTTGTCCTCGGTTTTGTCTTTCGCTTGTGCCATATTTAAACATATTTTTTCTACGACTAGCCTCGAAAATGCAGTTTGACACACGGAAAACTCGATCTGACATTGGCGTTTTGCAAACTGTCCTGTGCTAAGGATTTAGCGCACGACATGTGTCAATTTTAACATTTTTAACCTCCAATGCTTAGCTGAAACCTGGCTGAAACGCCAAACGCAACGCAGCCGTCAGAAAAGTGCCATCATTATATCGCAAATTATTCCACAAAACTGGCAAAAACTGAATGAGTCTGCTGCTAATTTGTAGTCGTAGAAAAAATTGCGTAAAAAAGTCGTTCGAAAACTTCTTTGTACACTCGTTCGACTTCTGGCTCTTGCCTGCGGCTCGAGCCAACAAACTGTCGAACTCGTGTGCAAAACGACGTTTTCGAAACTCGTTGTTTAATATACTATTTTTGTGAAAGCCTTTCGAAATTGACAGTTTTTGATATTTATTTGAGATTCGAAATGACATTCTTTTAGGCACTAGTGTCTAAAAGTGACACTTGTTTAGGCACTAGTGCCTAAAAGTGAAAAATGAAACGTTAGAAACAATGAAAATATTTATTTATTATATATATATAATCTATAAAACTATAATTATATAAACTAAATATATATAATCATTAAAACAACTTTAGCTAACAGGAATTCTTTGTCATGGGCTTCTTTCATAAAGCGTTCTATTTCCAGTTTTGTAAATATTTTTGATTTCTTTGCGCTTCCGGAAGCTTTTCTTTTTAAAAATGCAATAAGGTTTGTGAATTTGCTAATATCTACGTTTCTGTTCGGGTAAATCATGGTGCGGAGCATCGAATATTTACTCCACCGAATTTACGGCTTTAAGGTAGTGGATAATTTCAGGAAATTGGCTAGAAATACCCTTTCTGTGAAATTCTTAACATGTTTTTCTTTGATCCAGGTTTCAAAGTTGTTGTAGGTGGTCTCGTATAAGTATTTTGACTTCTCGGGCACTAACGTGGGTAGCGCAGGTTCAACAGCTTGTTGAATATCCAAAGACTCGTCAGCATCACCCATTTTTTCACAAAACTTTGTAGAAAATACGGCGACGTTTAAACCTGACAGAACTTTGACATTAAACAATGCATAAACAATGCCTTAGAAACCGATTACCAGAACATTTTAAATAATAATAAATAATACAAACAGAACAAAAATAAATAATAATAATAATAGCATGAAAATCTCAAATTATCCGCTTTCACAATTTTTTTTATGAAATTCGTTGCAAAAAGAGTGTTTTAAGCATTCGATGCATTGTGAAGACAATTTTGCGTCCCGTTCTTAAAACACATTCATTTCGCAACTTGTAACATAAATAGCTATTATTTGACCAAATCAATTTGGTTTTGTAATGTAACTTCTTTCTGGGTAATTAATTAATAAAATATTCCTGGATGTTATAATGTAAAATTACATTTATTCACAGTTTATTTACATAATATATCATAAAATTATAAGGTAACGTATTCATGGCGATGGAGCGTAGACGTTTATGGATTTGTACGTAAAGGCACCTGCTCCATCTTTCTAAAATATTTTCAGCATTACAGTGTTGCCGCATCATTCTAAAAGTTGTAGCACCTTTCTTATTTTAAATGGCACACCCAGTATATTATTATATTTTTGAAAACTACTTTCATATCTCATAATTTTTCTATTATACTAATCTACACCTATCTCTAATAGTTTTTGATATAAAAAATAAAATACGTGTAAAATTGAAAAAGACATGATCGTGAATAAGTATTGGTAAAATCATAAATTATACATTTTTAAAGTTGAAATTTGGGTTATAAGTTAACGAAAGTCGATTTATTCGATCTGTCTAAATAAACCGACTGGATATTACCACCACCCCCTCTTTTTAAGGCCATTCAACCTTTCCCAATATGGTGGAGATAGAAGTTCTTTTTTAAACCCTGTTTTATTTCCAAATAGACATTTTTCACACAAATGTCAGGTTAGATTACGTAATATTTCACTAATTTCACTAATTTTTTAATATACAGGGAGTCTAAAGTTCTCCACATAAGTATGGAATTTTTTGTATTATTACTTTTATGAAAACATCAGTTAGTTACTTTTTATAAAAAGGTCTGCTTTCTCAGAAAATAGGCAGTGCTAAAATATTCAAACTTGAGGTAGCATATATAGGGTGTTCAAAATCATCGGAAAAAGGAATAATCAGAAATATATGACAGAAAATAGCAATATAAACTAAATATTCAATTGCAAACACTTACCTACCATAGTTTAGAATTTACTGAACGTTTGATAAATATATACTATTATGGACAGTTTAGGGATCAGGGACAGACAAAATTAGGGTTCTGTAGAAATGCCTATTTTGTAAATCAATATGCTTTTTTAAAGTGGTATTATGGATAATCGAGTGGAGAATATAATACATTTGCACATACCTTTTTTTAGCCTCGGTACCTTTAAAGGTACATCTAATGCTTCACTTGTTATGTCATAAAATTTTGTACTCCCTTCAATTTCTTCGTCTCGAAAATGTAATTCACATATCTATATTTAATCATAATTTAAGTTTGATGGCCTTTTTGAGGCATATTTAATGCACTTCTTACCCGAGAATACTAGTAGGAGTGAAATTATCTCTTTTAATAGCTGTCAACAATTTTTTACGAAGCTCGTAATTTTTGGGGAATATAAAAGCAGAAACCTTGGGACCCCTTCTATAATTCCCGTGACAATTTGGAACAGAGCATGTAAAAGGCATGCTACAATAAAATGTTAACTCTTTAATACCTATCTTTTGATTATTGTAAGTAACCCTTATAAAGTATTATGCAGACTGGCGGTGAAGGGTTTTTACTCATTTAGGTGTAATATCTTGATAAATACTTCTAGTTCTTACCTTAAAATAATTAATAATACAGGAGTACGACAAGCACAAAAGTTTGAAGTTCCCTATATGGAATGTCTGGTTTGGATTTTTATTACACTCTTATTTTATCACAATTTTCTGATCACAACATGCACTGAACGCTAGGAACAAAACAAACATGTTGCAGAAGCACAACAAACTAGAGATAATTACGGAACGAGAAACCACTGCCGCCTTTTCATGTTAAAGGTAAACAATTTAAAAATGCACTGCCTTCGCCGCCATATTTGCCTTGCGCATATCATGTTGATTGACCTTAAGTGGAGGGGGTGGTGATATTACACAGGGAGAGCAGAAATACTATTTATTTCCGTTTGTTATAAAATTGCTCAAATCTTTGTTATTTTAAATTCATTTCTATGTATATTATTTAGAAAATCAAAAGACTAATAAAATTGCTTTTCAACGATATATTTTCATGTTCCTATACTTAAACCTTCCGGTTTCTTAAGTAGAGCTATTTAAAAATAAATAATTCTATTATTATAGTTTCATTTCAAGAATTTGGTTACCATGACAATTTTAGAAATTTAGCACGTTAACTCGTAATTGATACTTATAAAGCTTGAATATTTGTCATGGTAACGATTTTCGATGTCTAAACGAAACAATTATAATAGAATTATTATCTTTTAAATGGCTTTACTGAAAAAAAATAGAAGGTTTAGGTATACGAACATGATATATCGTTAAAAAGCAATTTTATTTTGGTTTCGATTTTTTAAATAATATATATAGGCTTGAATTTAAAATAACAATAATTTTTTAATAAGATTTTATGACAAACGGAAATAATTATTTTTTCTGACCTCCCTGTTTGATATCCATCAGTTGATTTAGACAGGTCGAATATGTCGACTTTCCTTAACCTACAAAACAAATTTAAGCTTTCAAAAGGCAGAATTTATGATTTTACCAATGCTTATTTAAGATCATGTTTTATCAATTTTACATGTTTTATTTTTTATCTCGAAGATTAGAGATTGGTATAGGTTAGTATAACCGAAAAATTTTGAGAAATGGAAATAGTATCGAAAGATATAATAATATACCGGGTGTTCCATTTAAAATAACCAAGATGCTACCACTTTTAGTATGAAGCGGCAACACTGTAATGCTAAAAATAATTTAGACGAGATGGAGCAGGTGCCTCTTGCAAAAATCCAAATTTTCAAAAATATTTTATCACAGAGGTACTCCATAAACGTCTAACGCGATCACCCTGTGTATTATCTTCTTAATAAAACGTGTTTTATAAACATTTTTGTGATTCTTTATGCGGCTCGTGAACTATGAGCATTATCCAGACTATTTTTTGGTTACTCTTCTTTGGTTATGGTAATATAATCCGATTCGTTTAGCCTCAACCTATACCGAGTATCGTAACTGTGTATCTCAAAGCTATAAATGAGATCTCCCTCGGCCGTTGTGATTTCTAGGAGATCGGGTAGGAAGAGGCAGAACTCCGCTAGTCCATTGGCTTTGAAGGTTACTCGTCGCGTCACGTGAATGGAGTCCTTCTGGTAGAACTTGAGCTTGCAGGCGTAACCGCATTGTGGATGGTAAGGAGATGTTTTGGAGAGGATGCACCGGACCGCGGGAAAATTCTGATCGTATTTCCACTTCAGTTGAAATAAGGTATCTGAAAAGGGGGAAAATGCAAATTAGTGAAGTGCCCAGAGTCTTTTACCTCGGAATTCAATTACTGTGTATGTATTAATGTGAAACCTTCTGTATTGTGTTTTTAAAATAAAATACTAAAATGTGTACCCATTTTTTTTCGTTGCTTTTAATTTTTTATTTTAGTAAATTCTTAATTATTTCCTTCTAAATTTGTTGATTTTTTAATTCTTTTTCTAAATAAATTTATTGAAATAGTTAAATCTAATGCATAAGCTATACCTATTCAGCTTATATTCTAATCAATTAAATTTTTATTGAAATCGAATTATACAGGGTGGCGCGTCGTAGACGACGCGATTTTTGCAAGAAGATCAAAAGTTTGTATTGAAGTGAAATTTTGTGAGCTTATGTAAGTCAATTTAAAGTATTTTCTAAAATAGTGTAGAATTCTACAGAGTGTCCCCAGAAAAAGTGAGGTACACATCAAAGTTATGTTTTTTTTTGTAATGGAACACCCTATATATTAATTGATTTTTGGATTCTAGTATAAAAATCAGTGGCGTAGCTAGGTAATCAAAGGCCCTGGGGCAAATTAAAAAATGGGCCCCCACTGCTATTGGTTTAGGTGGACTGATTAGGTTTTATCAAATAAATATGAAATATACAAATACTTTAAAAATGCTAAGCTACTTAAGCTCTTTTTTGTGCACTGCAGGACAGGTAATAAAAATATTAAACAGTAACAACATAAATTACAATTAATACTTGGTGTAGGTTTGGCTAATAAAAGGAAATAGAGAAGATTCAAGGGTTTATTATATAAAAATCGGGCCTATCAACTGACTAAATAACAATTATATTTATAATTTTTCCCTAGCTTTAGTTTTTGCAAAAGTATCAATGACTTCGTTTAAATCCAGGCAGGCTTGATGCGGTTTTGTGTTCAATTGTTATTAGCGATAAATATCGGAGTCGAGTTTTTGGCCCATATTATTTCTTAAATAATTTTTTATTATTTTTAATTTGCTAAATGACCTTTCGGCTGCTGCACAAGTGACAGGAATTGTAAAGAATAATAACATTGCTGTAAATACGTCTGTTAGGTCGCATTCTAGCACTCCATATTTGCTCAATATTTCCTTACATAATTGGTGAACAGTCCATGCTTGAGTTAGTTGAGGTAAAACTAGGTGGTAAATATTAGTAAATTGAAGTGAAAAACTAGAGCCTATTATATCTGAATACTTTCTTTGTAATTCGTCACACTTTTGTAATACAGTTGCTTCATCAACATGTAATAAAAATGTTGGTATTAGAAAATCGAATATATGACAGAATGCACTCATACCATTAAAACGTGTATCTAATTGAGATATTACTGTGTCCTAGTACATTATTGAAAATGTCAATTTTAAATATTTTTTTCGGTTTGGAAATCGGTGATCAGCGCTAATTCATCAAAATGTTTTTTAACTTTTCTTTGCCTTTTTTTCTTGAAAATGGGTATCAATACCATATTTTCTTGCAGTTTCACTGGCTTTACCCTTGAATAGTTCGAAATAATTTCTATAAATTTGCAACTTTGCTTTGGTATCTGCTAAAACTTTACTCGCTCCGCCCAAATTGATGTCGCATTTTTGTAAAGTTTTGGAGGCATAATTGATGTCGTTCAATACACTGTGCATGAATTCGCAAAGCAACACAAACTCGAAATTTAGCATTTTTGTTTTAATACTCTCTGCTTCACTATGCTCATCTTTATCAGGACTCTTTAGAATTATTTCTGATAATGCTTTGATAATATTGCAGGTGACTTGCATTTTCACCATATTTCGCGTTATACAATGAACTGTAGTCGAAATCTATAGATTTGACACGATTTATTGACTTAACGGACATCAATATGAGTGGTAAAATCAAATAAAATTGAACCACTATATTCACCAGTACAATAAAGTTTATTGACATTAGCTTACATACGCCTGATACAGCATTAATTTTTTAACCGTTCTCAAAAAATAATTTTTTAACTCGAATTCACAAAAAAACGCACATCGATGAATAATAAAACGCACATATCACTATCCGTCAAATTGACAACACTGCCAACGTACAGAAAGAATTTAGGGGAATTCCCTAGGCACAACTTTTGAATTTCTCTCAACTGAGTTGTCATGATTAAAGTGGGGTTGCAACCTGTCATATTTATTTTGAAAACGGGAGAAATTTCCAAAAGTTCAGTTCGATAGAGATATCTGGTAAGGATCCGAGGGCCCCCTGAACTTGAGGGCCCCGGGGCACTGCCCCGCCTAGCCCCTAGGTAGCTACGCCACTGATAAAAATAAAGGTTTGTTTCATTAGAAATGTATATGACTTTGAAATTTATAGTTTTTGAAATACATTCACCGGCACGAAAAATGGGCACCTTAATTTGACTTTTTAGTATCTTTTTCTAAATTAAAAATAAAACTCCCCATCCGTTAATTATACGAGGGAAAACAAAATGTTGATATTTTGGTGAAAATTTGAAATACCCTGTGGAATATGTTAAATACGCATGAAATTTAAAAAAATCATTTTATCATCTAGATACATCCTTTCTCGATGGTTTGTTTTTTGGTTCATCTCATTAGATTTATTTTTGTTGGAAATGTTCGTTTTTGAACAAGACACTAACATGTTTTCGTAATTTTTACATTAAAACCATGTCTTTGCTGTTGGGCCTAGCCAACACATCTAGTAGATTCTGGTCCCGAAGCAGGCCTTCTTGACATAAGATATGCTTCATATAATATTCTTCTTCAAGTGCAATTCACTATCAATTTGAAAAGCTTGCAAACGGCGCGGCGCGGCGGTTTCTTAGCGATAAATTTACAATAAGTCGATAGTCTCGATTAGAAGTTCTCATACGTAAGTTCCTGGACATCTAGACTGACGTCCTCATGGACGTGGTCATAATTCAAAAACCACTTAGCATACTCTATGGTATTAAGGTATTTTTGGAACCAGAATTTTATAGCAAATTCACTGAACTAAACAAATAAAGATATATATTTGACTCACCCTGTCTATCTATAAAAATATTTTTGAAATGTGAACTACCATTAGTTAAACACATATTTTGTAAATGGTTTGTAGTGAAAATATCAAATAGGAATCCCGATACAGAGCTTTTTCGGAACACGCAGCCATCTTGTATGTATGCAATTGTATAATATATGTGTTTATTTAAATACTAAAGTGAAAGCAACGAATTTAAATGGGTAAACTTTCTAATATATATTATTAACAATACAATGCAAAAAGTTTTATAAAAATTCGTTCACAGTAAATGAATTCCGAGGTTTGTATCTCATAACGGCTTAAAGCACTCCACTCCTATAGTTAGTATAATAAAAAAAAGTATGAGATAAGAAAGTAGTTTCGAAAAATGTAATAATATACTAGGTGTTCCATTTAAAATAACAAAGATCCTATCACTTTTAGTATGAAGGGGCAAAGCTCTAACGCTGAAAATAATTTAGACAGATGGAGCAGGTGCCTTCGTGCAAAAATCCAAATTTTCATAAAAATCCTATCAGCGATTCTCCATAAACGTCTAGCATACCATGGCCGTGAATCACCCTGTATATACCGTTATTTAGTACTTACCATTATAATAAAACACGATGACGAATTCATTTCTACATTTCTCCGAAAATTTCTTGGCCACAAAATTAGCAGACTTTGTATAATATACGTTTTCATAGTGTTTCTCTTTCAAATGGGTATGCAGGTCCTTATATGGCGATATAACGGTACACTGGAAGTTGTCAGCCAATGGACACCGTGTAGGAGCGTATTCGCAGCCTTTTTCGTGTGACAAAGTTTCGAAGCCCTGTCCCAGAAAAGTGCAATTTTCAAATTTGCACGGAAAACTGATGAAGGTGTGTATTCTTTCTAAGGTATACGCACGAGACTTTATTTTATTAGCTCTGAAAAGGAATAAAAAACATATTAATATTGTGGTGAAACGTTTGCTTAAAGGTGGTAGTAAAAGTTTTATTTAGGAAAAGAAAACATCAGACGATTAACATATAAGCGATACCAATTAAATTTTTGGTCACGTCATCCAATGCGCGATTTTAAATTCATTGTTGCCAATCATGGACATATTCGGCGCAGGTTTGATAAACTGGAAATTTTTGTTTGAAAAACTTTAAATTTTCCGCTGAGGGTTCAAGTGATAGCTCTGCTGTAAAAATTGCAAGTTGTCACGTTTATTTATTTCCTGACATTGTCATTTGTTTTGACACTTTAGTTTTGTATTACGAGTTTTTGGTTTAAATGAATTCTGTTGTGATACTTTAAGCTTAAATTTTTTTTTACTAGCAGACCTTGCAGTCGAACATTGTTCTTTTTAGAGCCGCTTTTAGTACGAAGTGTACAATATGCCGCAGCAGCTTAATGGCCGTTGCAAAAAACTCATTGCAACCTTATTAGATTATTTTGAACGGGAAAGCGGTAGTAATGGTAAAGCGGTAGTAAAACGGTAGTAATCTTAAGAGGTGAGTTTTGTTGATGTAAATAATAACTAATTATATTTATAATTTTGTCTCCTAAAATCTTTGATTAAAAAGAAATATACAGGGTTGTTCACCACATACGACACGGAGTATTGTAGCTAAACGATTAGATTTTTACAAATTGTAAGTTTTGGGTTCGTTGAAGGACTATTAGAGCTACAATTTAAAAATAATTTTACAAGATACAGAGTGTCCCAAATAAGTAAAAATATTATAGTTGTATTTTTTTAAATAGAACACCCTGTATATTATTCTATTTTTGGATTCTACGATTGAAATAAAGGTAAATTTGATTAAGGTTTATTACACTTAAACCTTACCGTTTTTGAAATATTTTTAATTTTTTGAAATTGCAGTAAAAAAATTAAGGCTTTATTTCTCCAAGGGTATCAAAGTTTTTAATACTAAATATTTACTGAAGGTTATTTATTGATCAGATATTGTGTTGCAATAAAAAAAATACTACCTTATACAGAGTGTCCAAAAATTGATATTAAATAATTACTAGATTTATACGGCAATAACTTGTTTAATTTAAATGGAACACCCTATATATTTTACGTGAATCAGATGCACAATGTAATTGTCTATCAAATTGTATTGTTCCATTTTTTGCCCATCTCTTCAAGTTTTCATAGAAAATGCATTTTCTTATAATTTAGACCTCATTTATCACTATACCCATGGAATATTGACATTTTAGCTTATTTTTAAAGATGTAATAAATTTTCAAAGGGTACCTACAGATACTAATATTGTCGCTTATTTGATTAAAAATAAAAAAACAACTGTTTAAATATTTTTTGTTAAAGAGGACCAATTAATATGATCCACATATTCAAACTACATTAATTGACTGTTTACGTTGTAGTAATAATTGCTCCAAATACTAAAAAACTGAATTTTGTGTGTGTATTAGACAGTGTGGTAAAAAGTAACATCTTATAAATTTTATTTCATTTATTGACGAATGCTTATTTATAAAAACAGAGACATTCATTTTCATAACTTATTAATATATTGATTTCTGAGCCAAATCCACATTTATTTAGAATATTTTATTAATTAAAACAATTTAAAGGTATGTAATTAACTAATTTTTGGTGTTTTTGGTAGGAAATAATGGTGGTATACTTAATTGGTATACTCTTTTACAAAGATTTAATTAGTTTTTTTGTATGCCAATAGGCTTGCAATATTTACCACCTGTACGTTTTGTACATATTATGGTGCTTCAAAAAAATCGGAAATGTCAATATTTCATGGGTATAGTGATAAATGAGGTCTAAATTGTAAGAAAATGCATTTTCTACGAAAACTTGAAGAGATGCGTAAAAAATGATATAATATAATTTGATAGACAATTACGTTGTGCATTTGATTCACGTAAAATATATAGGGCGTTCCATTTAAATTAAACAAGTTATTGCGGTTTAAAGCTAGTAATTATTTAATATAAATTTTTGGACACTCTGTATAAGGTAGTAACATTTTTATTATTGCAACACAATATCTGATCAATAAATAACCTTCAGTAAATATTTAGTATTAAAAAACTTTGATACCCTTGGAGAAATAAAGCCTTAAATTTTTTACTGCAATTTCATAAAATTGAAAATATTTCAAAAACGGTAAGGTTTAAGTGTGATAAACCTTAATAAAATTTACCTTTATTTCAATCGTAGAATCCAAAAATAGAATAATATACAGGGTGTTCCATTTAAAAAAATACAACTATAATATTTTTTACTTATTTGGGACACTCTGTATCTAATCGTTTAGCTACAATACTCCGTGTCGTATGTGGTGAACAACCCTGTATAAAAGTGGGCAATACTATGCAGGCCAAGCTTAATCACGTGACTAAAAGTTTATTTGGTATGCTCTTGAATATATTTTTATATATGAAACTTAATGTAAATAAAAAAAATGGTAGGTTGTCACTTTCTTAATAAAAGAAAATATTAATGAAGATCGTATATGATTAGATTAACGATTTTAATATTTCATTATAGCCGGATTAATATAGGAAATCTGCCCCGCGGCTTTTTCGACTCGCACTCAGGGGATCGATTTGGTGTCGAATCAAAATAATTCACATAAATTTTTAGCTTTTTAACTCAAACGGTTTTCGAGATTTTCAAAAAAAAACTGTTTTTCCAATTTTATTTTTATAGTAAAATTCAAAATTAATTAATGATGATTTTTTTCTAATTCTTAGAAGTCTAAGACTTGAAAAAATTATATGATCTTGATTCTTAAACGAAAAGCCGATTTTTAGCGGAGGAAAGAAAATTAAAATCTTTATTTTTTTAACCTTTGTGAAATATGTCACTCACTAGAAATCGTCAGAAAATGCCTTTTATACTTCTTTACACTCAGGAATTTCATAGAATTTTTTGAAGTGGTGGAACAATATACGAAAAAAATGAAAAACTCATTTTTTTCCTAAAATCTTCTGTTTTAACTGACTTAATTTTTTTTAGTTTAAAGAAAATATTTTTTTAATTCAAATTCACAATGATATTGCTTATTACACATTTTCAATCATATTGCTAAGCCATGATGCATGACGCTTTTAAATAAAAAATATAGATATAACTATTTTTTTTAATCGATTTTTACTTCTATAATTACGAATTTCTCTAAGTTGTAACTCATATTTTTCATGTGTATACATTACTAAATGCCAAAAGAAATACTTCAATAATAATAACACCGCAGAATAATGAGAATAATTCGCAGGAGCGTTGAAAAATCATTTTAATGTTGCCTAGAAGGCTGTATTTCCACAATAGCGTTGCTTGTATCTTACTATTACATGGAATACGTTCTGTAATTAAATCACTGCGTATGTTACAAAGCATAATGATGTACCTTTTTGTTTCATCATGTTTGCGTTAAGCGTTGCTTTCTGGTATGTTAAATAAAAACACTCAGCTATGCTGATTGTATCTGGCAATATGTAGCTTAATTATTTTCATACTTAATTTGCGTGTTAGTTGTTCAATGATAATGCAGTCGCATTTTTATAAGATGTAGAAAATTTGTTTGCATGACTTAAGATTCACTTGTGACATACTTTCAACTACATACGTTAGTTGTTATGCCCGCGTGCCGAAATGAAAAATTCTCACCAAATAGTCTAAGAGCTTACGACATATTTAGAGAGCATGTTTTAGGCAAGTTAGAACAATACATATATAGTTTATTAACTGGTGAATCGTTTAGACTTCAGCACGTACGAGCTGAGCGTACGCGCACGGCATTCGTTGCGCTCTTGGCTCCATTTAAAATAAAAACTTATGTTTCGACAAATAAAGTGATCCACTTGTGCGCGCACAGCAGAGTTGTGTTGGTTGTTGCGTTTTTTATAAAACATTACCACTGCGAACGGCAGCTTTTCATCGGAGAGCAGTCGTGGATAAGGTATTTCACTAGAGAGAAAACTAATCAATAACAATAAACAAAAAATATAGATATTGGGCGCCAGGCATGTACAGAGAAAGAAAACACAGTTGTATATTACTTAAAACTAATGACTATATTTATTCATGATGTTCTTTGCTGATACATGACATTGTAGAGTTCTAGTGAATATATAGTGGTTATATGTCAAAGAAAGTAGTGTTAAGAGTTGTACTAAATATCTATAAAAGTAATACCATTACAAGACATAATGTAATGAAACCTAAGATCTAAATCATATTTTAAATACTAAATCGACATAAATGTTCTTAATAATCTAACCACTAAATATAGTCTGTACGATATTATTTAAAATGTACGTTAAGTTAAGACTGAAAATCGACTGAAAATCAGAACCTAAATCTAAACTTAGCAGTTCTTGAGGCAATCCTGTTTCGAAGAGTAGCAGCGTGAGGTAGGCTCATATCTCTGTCTGTCGGCGATCCTGTTGGCCAAAACAACAAAAGGGGCCAGAATGAGGACACCATGAATCAATACAGCCGTAGCTACTGACTAGGCTTAGAAATGGGAGCGAAGCGGCATGGGGATTACGCTGTATCCATACTGTGGCAATATGGGGACACTACCCGTACCTTGGAACACTACTAGGACCTTGGATAATGTCGGTAACTTGGACCATAACCTTGGACACAGTCCGTCCATAAGATAATGTACGTCCATAAGAAAACGGTACAGGGGAAAGCTACCTTGGACCATAACCTAGGACTATAACGTTGGACACAGTCCGTCCATAAGATAACGTACGTCCATAAGATAATGTACGTCCATAAGACCCTAAAAATACGAAACTCTTGTTTAAAACCAAACAAGGTCTAATAAACAAAATAAACCTACCTCGAAACACTTCCGAAGGCTCAATAATAAACAAAAGAACTGTCTTTTCTTCCATTTAACATTCTGGAGGACAATAGCAAAAGTACACCAACGTGTCAGCAAAATACAAATACGAGTTAAGGTGGGTCAATCCAAAACTCTACCCTAAAAATATTCAATAATAATATCGAATCTATAAAAGATAATAACTCATCTTTACCTGTAGCTTTGAAATGGCAGTTGATTCAGGTTTTGCAGCAAGATTTAAATTATTACCATTTCTAAAAGCCGGGTGAACAAAAGTGAGGTTAAGGGCGGAGAGTGACCTAACCTTGGGGCAATGTTGACAGCGCCTCCACAGAGCAGTGAAACGATAACAGGGTTGGCGACTAGGGAACGTAAAAATTACGCCAAGCGTGCCAAATAAATTATCAGGCCTGAACGATACGGAATCCGATGACGATACTCGTCTCATCAATCATTTTTTTCATATTCTTGTATTAACAATAACGAAGATCCGTTGGTCCACTCCATAATTTAAATTATTGAAGAAAACGAAACAAAAATCACACACGCACGAACGCACGCAGACAAAACAAATTGCCGGTGCAAACTGAGCGTTCGCGCACACATAAAATCCCTTTGAGCACGGACCAAAAACCGACACCAGACGGCACGCGTTCGGGGCTGCTCGCGCACAGGAAGATTCAGAGTGAGCGCGCGTGCACAGCCGTTTACACTTGAGCATTCGCGAAGGATCAGTGCGTGCGTGCTCAAGTCTAGAAGCACCATAAGGATGGTCAGGCTGCGCGGGAAAAGATAGAACAAAAAAAAAAGAAAAGACACCGCGCAGGAAAAGGCGAATCGATTTGCCAGACTACAAATTGCCCATCTGCACTGATCAAAGTTCTAGCGACTAGTGCAGTATATATTCGATGGGTATGTAACATTCTATTGCAATACGATTCAAAATTAAATTACAAAATTTATTAGTCAATGAGAGAGTAATGTTAAACGTTTATTTGTATTTGCTGAGGACAGCATACATATATGACAGTTGTTGTATGTGGTATATGTCAAAGTGATATTTTTCTTTATTGGGAATGCTGTAATAACATTCGCATTTATTTTTTCGACAACTCAATGGTCAGAAATGACAAAATAGTTTATTATAAAAAAATAACTTTTTACCTGCATATAGGACAACTGGGACACAATTGCCAACAACGAGCGCATATTATGTGGCTATTGGGGCACATAAATATAGGTGGAGCTGCATATTCTGCGCACACTGGACACTCGAACTCCTTACGCACCTTTTCTTCTAATTCTCTTCCGTCGTCAAAATTCTGTAACAAATATTTAATTTCATTAGATTTCCTTCAAAATTATTTCGGATTTTTTTGTTTATTTCCATTTTTAAAGTTTTTATTCTTTATTTCTTATATACAGGGTTGAGTCTTAAATAAGTGCAAATTTTTTCAGGGCAGGTATAGATCTCGATAAAAGAAACATATTTTCTCTTTACCGTTTTTCAAATCAGTCAAAAATAACCGAGTTATTTTACTTTGAAAATTAAAAAATAAATTATTTTTTGCTTATATTTTGAGAACCACTAGATTTTTGCTGCTGCCTTTGTTGTCATGTTACCAAGATATGTTTTTTAACCAAAAATAAAAAAATACAATTTTTTTCGAAAAATATTTTTTTTTGGGAGAAAAAAATACTCATAAACGTGTTTCTGGGATCGAAATCTACCACTCCAAAAAATATGTGCACTTATTTTAGATTCACTTTGTATATACCTTTATTCTATCTGAGTTAAATTTTATCTGACTAATATTTGATTCTATGTTTAAATAAAGCCGCCCTTCAAGTCTTTAGTAACCATTGGAAAATTAATATGCTGAATGCCACTGCCGGTGGGTTTGCCACATTTCAAACGATATCACCGGTGGCAAACCTCAATTTCCAGACCTGAATATCCGCCAGTTTATTATAATTTTCAGTATAGAAATGTAAATTTTTGGAGAATGATTTAAGATTAACATAAAAAGATATAAAATAATAAACCAAATAATTATAATATATATTAATTGATTATCGGATTCTAGGAAAAAAATAAAGGTGAGTTTTATTAAAGAAGCATATACCTAAAATCTAAGGATTTTGACATATTTCACATTTTGTGAAAATGAAGAGTAAATTTTAAATTTCGCTAACAGCTAACTAAATTTTAGTTGACCTTGTATAGCCTGATATTTAATTACAGTAACCATTGTGTGTTAAACCAAATTGAAATTTGACCCGAAAACAGTGTGAGACAAAATTAATATGGAACATTAGTCACTTTTAAAAGCAAGTTACTCCTTTATTTTAAATGGAACACCCAGTATATTATTCCGGTGTTGAATGGGGTATTTATATATCTTTAAAATATTATTAAGGTTGTCTACCTCCCAGACAAAGATTTTCCTAGATATTTTAATTTTTATGATTTTGCGTCAGTAGACCTTTATTATTTGAAAAAATCTAGTTGGATGTGATATACCGTTTGTTAATTTAACAAAAATTAAATAATGTAGAGTAAAATACACAACGGTAATAATAAGACACGTTTAAAACATATTTTAATTATTACAGAATTAAAACTAGATATAAACCTATAATTATGTGACAAAAATTAGCTAGATGAAATCAAATGCTCAAAATGCTTCCTTTCCTGTTAACTGCATAAAATTATTGTCTTTTCAAAAGGATCTTTTAATTTTAAAAGGCATTATGTGGAGTTCTACCTTGAAAAGCAGCTACAATAATTTCTCTCATGTTGTCGACAATAGTTGGTCGAGTTTTGTAAACACTGTCTTTAACATATCCCCATAAAAAATCCAGACTAGATAAAATCAGGAGCATTTATGTATTTTATTAATAAAAGCATGTCAATTCTCGCTGATGTAGGATAAGTTTGCATTTTCGGCAAATTTCTGAGATTTTTTTTTATCTTAACTGACACAAAGTGATAACTAGTTGTTATAGTTGGAGAAGAGGACCACAATAGATCTGAGAAGGTCGCAGTGGATCAGGCCGAAAGCCACCTCTAAGAATCTAATCTAATCTGTTATAGTTGGACTAATTAGACAGCTATGTTGAAGTAACGTCAAACATAACACCAGCCACCTAGATTTTATCAAATAATAAAGATCTACTCAGATCAAATCATGTAAATGAAAATATCTAGGAAAATCTTGGTTTGAGGGGTAGGCAACCTTAATAGTATTTTGAAGACACATGAATTCTCCATTGAATATCGGAATAATATACTGGGTGTTCCATTTAAAATAAACGAATAACATGCTTTTAAAGGTGACCAATGTTAAATATTAATTTTGTCTCACCCTGTATAACTTTTTGGATCAAGTTTTAATTTGATTTAAAGTACCATAGTTAGTTTAACTACATATTAGGCTATACCGGCTAAATTCCAATTTAGGTAGCTTTTATTGTAATTTAAAAATTGTTCTTTATTTTTAGAAAATATGTCAAAGACCTTACATTTTAGTCATATACTTCTCTTATAAAACTCACATTTATTTTTCTCCCAGAATCCGAAAATCAATTAATATATAGGATGTTCCATTACGAAAAACACAACTTTGATATGTAACTTTTTTTGGGGACACCCTGTAGAACTCTCTATATTTTTAAAAAGTGCTCTGAATTAACCTACATATGCTCATAAAATTCCATTTCAATGCAAATTGTCTTTCTCCTTGAAGCCTCCGCGGCGTATGAGAGGCCCCACCCTGTATTATTGATTGGTCACTGAGCCAATGATGTCACGAAGAACGCACAAAAAAAAACAGTGTGTACACTATGTGCGCATATTTCAAGTGAAACTTCTTACTAACAGCTATTAAATTGAAGGATTTGAAGGATATATATTTTTTATGAATGCTTTTTATAAGCTTCAAAAAAATTAGAGTTAATATGAAATCGTATATTATTCTATAGCTTTATAATTTTATAATGTTTTTTTTTTTAATTTTTATTAAACATTTCAAAGGGCACCATCAAAGAAAGCAATATACGCTTAGTCCCAGAGAAATTACAGATTAGTTATTTAGCCATACAAGGAAAAAACGAGAGTCGTCATGAATAAATAAATGCCTTTATTGTCAAAAAATTTTACAATTTGTAAAATTGACAAAGGTAAAGTAAACAAACAAAGTAAACAAACAAAAGAGAATACAAAACATTATACAAATTACATTGTCAATCTTATTGTTTAAAATAAACATTTATAAATGTTTACAATGTCAAAGAATGAAGAAAATGATGTTATGGATTTGATTTCAAATGGCAAGTGATTGTGCATTTTTTTCGAGTTGTATAATATTAAACTTTTAACTAACTCTGAGCGTGGGGTAGGTAGATAAAGATCTTGCTCCGCGTTCCTCAGTGGATAAGTGTGAGATGGCCTTTCTTGAGAAGCTGATACATGCTTACGTATTAGGCAAACGGATTCAAATATAAATAAGGAAGAGTTAATATTTTTAATTTTTAAAAAAGGCCTATCTGCTGTTTAGTCCCAGTGAATATCGAATAGCTCTCTTCTGGAGCTTGAAAATGCTGTCAAATTGAGTGGCACAACACGTACCTTAGAATGGAAGGGAATATCTGAGGTGCGACTCAAAAAGTGCATAATAAACAGTTCCAGCCACTGACAAGTTAAGCTCCTTAGAAACAGATCTTAATTTTTTCGACAAAGTGACGATATGAATGTTCCATTTCAGAGGATTGTCTACAACAATCCCTAAGAATTTTACAGATTGCGACGTCAATGGTGGTGTTGTTAAGTACAAAAGGCTGCAGCTTGTTTTTTATACGACCTTTAGGCGACGAGTTTTATAATATCTAACATAGTGGTGTCTGCAATAACTTTCTATAATGAATTAAATTAACCAAAAATTATTACATTCCTCTCATTCTTATTAATTTATAATTTTCGCAGCTTTTTGTAAGCCGCAATTTAGATTCTCTTTTGTATATAAATCGCGAATCTTTTTATTTTTTCTCTCTTTTTTTTAATTCTTCTTCCATCTCTTCCGTCAGTGGCACCGCAGATGATCCCCTTTAGGATTAATTACGCTTTTACTGTTTTAACAGAATTAATTCTGGAAATACAATAGCGGCTTCGGAAACGGAATAAAAGCGCCACTTTTTCTGATAAATGCAACATTCGGCCGGCCTCGAAACTGTGAAATAATTACGATACTTTTTTGTCCGTTTTTTCTTTTTTCCGTTTCGGAAATAAAAAAAAACTGGGGCGGTTATGAAAAAAAAAGGATAATTTCGGAACAGATTGTAACTCTCCGGCGATTATCTCGTGTTCGTGGTGATGATGATAAAGCTTCCGTTTTTTAAAAAAGATAATTTATTCAAATCATGCTACTAAAATAATTTTTTCTAACGATTTTGGCAAATGGTATAATTTTAGCAACAATTATCAAAATACAAGACTAGTTTAACCCTGAGTTTAACACTAGTCTCTTTTCACTCATTCTATTGCGCTTGGTTATTACCAATTGAATGCCTATATAAACGCTCAATATGTAGATACTTGTTTAGTTTTAATCATCTGTTGATGATACAAGATGAATTTCTAAGTTATTTATTATATGAGCTACGCCGCGCCGCATTCTCGCCAGACCCTGTATGCCAAGAAAAAATACTTGCCAAGTACACGAGTCGTCAGAACGCGCCATAATGCTTAAGGCATATTCTCACGACTCGTGTACTTGACAAACATTTGTTATTGGAATATACTTGCCATGCCGTGCGAGCGGTTTCCTTGTGCAATTATTTGTCACTCATCGAGCTGCGGGAACGCTAAGCTTGTTGCAAAAAAATCTTGTTTATAAAGATAGTATACTTGCCCAGTACGCAATTATTGGTGTACTTGCCAAGTGTACACGAGTTGTGAGAGTCCGCCTTAATGCTGCAAGGGCACACTCGCCGAGGCGGCGCGACACAAAACTACGGTTCTAAACAATACCAATGTACAGGGTTGCCGAAATTGGTCTGTTTTAACAGAGAAAACCTATTTATTGACTAGATACAGCAAAACCGATATAGATGTCATGGGCTCGATTTCTGAGACACGTTTAATGGCGCAAATCGCCTGTTGATATTTTCACTGCCAAATGAGATACGGAGTCTTTTTGAATTTTTTACCATTTTGAAAATTGCCCATAACTTTTTTATTTTGCAGAATAATAAAATTCTGTAAAAACGTTCTTAAGGCACTTTTTAAAGCACAATCCACTGGGCGTAGTCAGTTTTTTTCTAT